AGGCTGCAGACCCTGAATTGGGATACAGCCTATATCTCTTGGCAGTCCTGGCGTTACCTCGACACTCAAACATTCTGTTGTGCAATTTTGTGCTAGTAGATTTGTCGATTTTAGAAATATTTCAAACGGACAAAAACCTCCATAATGTAGCCTGTAAACTCCACAATCAGAATGTGCCATACACTCGCGCAAAATAGGAACACAAAGAATTTCCACATCGACAAACACAACGAGTAACGAGGCTGTGGGCCACACTCAGTATGGGTGAAGTCGATATTATTTAACATCAATGCAGGAAATTGATTCACTTTTAAATTAAATTACCGAAAAATTGTTTGACATGAAACTGTTCTGACAGCCAATTTCCAATTGATGTTCTCACTTCAATTAACAGACGCTGTTGTTTTAATTAAGTAAATTGAATTGACACAACTAATGGTGAGTCATTACTGACCTTCACAAGCAATTTGAGTGTTTATTGTGGTTCTTCTTCCCGCTCTGGGTGGCATTTGGGTTAATATATTAATATTAATATCAATGAAAAGTATGTGTTTTATTCTGATAACACAATTTAATTAGAGTGAGAGTCTTCAAAACCAAAACCCTCCCCCCCATCACTACATCACTCCCTGGTGTTAAATTACAGCAGCTGATGAGGCAAGCAGACATGGAGTAAATGTTTAAACAGGAACTCGAGCCACTGGAGAGTTACAGGAGAAGATGAGAGGGGAAACAAAACCCCTTCCTACAACTCTCCTTGATTAATTTGTGTAAAAAGTCCACGGTAACTGGTGGACAGCTGTCCTGTTCATTCACAAATGGGAATATGACACGAAGCTCACTCATTTGTAGGTTTACCGCCAGCAAAGAATGCCAACCCAGTTCTACGGTTTCTCACAAACACTTTCAGCAAACATGAGAAACAGAGCTTCTTTATTACAAGCCCAACTCTGCACAAGCTTTCTTAACAGTCCTCTTTTCCTTGCTAGCTACGTGCACCACCTCTGGAGGCCCGGCAGAGGAGGCAGTACTGAAATATGGATAGGGACTGATTCGAATCTGCAGAACAGGTGTGTCACTCACCTCACCTGAGCTGTCCCATCGAGCCCAACCTCCCCCATCGGCAGCCAATCGAAGAGCTCACCCCACCAACACAGGGAGCACATTCATAAGCTTCCTCTCTTTAAAAGCATATCTCCTGGTTCACACCACCTCAATTGACCTTCAAATGCCTGCCTTAAGCTGTGAATGCTTAATGGTAAGAGGCTTTGGAGGAGAATATCCCTCCCTGTATCCTTCTTCCTCAATTCCTTTCCCTTTAAGCCCAGCTCTCTTTCCCTTTCCACCCTCCCACTGTGGTTCTTTCATTTCTGATTTTATATTTTGGGGATTTAAGAGCAGATTTTACACAGTGAATGATCGTTTTTTTTTAACAGAGAAGAAGATTAAAGTAATAATCTGAGGCATTTGCAGTATATTTCTGTTAATATTCTGAGTAAGATGCTAAATGAATAAATAACTGTGGTGAAGAGTGATCCATAGCTGGGGAACAGGATATGGAAGAGCAGTCTAATGGAGACCATCTGATCAAGCACCAGCTGAAGTGTGAGTCATCTGGAGGAATAAGGGGTTGGCTAGAAGTGTGCCTTGGAGACGTAACAGTGAAACTGTGGAAAAAGGTGAGTTAATTAGAAAAACATGAACATCTGTTGGACACCATAGTACAAGATCCAGTTGCTTTCCTTCTAAAAGAAGGACAATATCCCAAATTCTTAGACTATGTATAAAGCCTGACATCTAATGGTGAAATACAGGCCATGTTGCAAAGTAAAGGACCAGTCAGGGTGGTCTTGGCATCAAACACACGGGGTACAGGGGGTTGTTGCATAGACGTGAACAGAAGTCCCTCTGGAAACTGCAGCTAAAATGTTTCTTGTGGTGAAATCATTCGTGCCTAACATATTGTGTTATTCAAGATAATGGAAGAAAAACTTAATGCAGGTAAAAAACCGTTGGCTTTTAACATGTGTTTTTAGTCTCCATCTTTAATAATAATCTCATCCTACATATGACGAACCAGCTTTGTGACAATGAGCCATTATTTTCTTTTTGGTTAGATTTTTTATTTTGGAGTTTGTGCCACGATATTGATTATCAAATAAAATAGAACCATAATCTTTGGCACACGATTGCTATCCATCTTTTGCTCCTTCCACACATCCAGTTTCACAGTGCACAGTTTCTTGAGTTTTTA